GGGCACAGGCCGGGAGGGAGGATGCAGCAGCAGCCTGAGGAGAAGGGGGCAGACTGGGGGGGAAGGGGGCAAAGCCGGGGGGAGCGGTTGCCTGAGGGGGAGGGGGCAAAGCCGGGGGGAGCGGTTGCCTGAGGGGGAGGGGGCGCGTCACCGGGGCAACAAGCTGAGGGGAGGGGGTCGGGGGAATCACTTACCAGAGCCCCCTGCGGGGCGGGTGGAAGGAGATGGGGGCGCGGTCCCAGCCCCTCCTCAGAGCCGGAGACTCGCTCCTCACTAGGGGAGGGAGGAAGGGATCGGGGTGCGACGCTATCACGGCCCCCCCAGCGCTCTTCGCACCGCCACTCACGGAACGGACGGCGCCTCGGACGGGACAAGACAAGCAAGCACCCCTCTGAGCCCTCGACGACGTTGCGCATGCGCCGCCGCCCTCAGCGCCGAGTCCTCATCCCGAGAGAGGCGGGGCGCTGACGGGAAAGGCGCATGCGCGAATTCCTTTTCCCTCCAGAGGCGCGTTTGCAGCCGGGGAAGGGTGATCGCGCTGTGCGCGTGCGCGTGCCTCCCTTTCCTTTGAGCTCATTGCCCAGGCGTCTGACTCCGCCCCGCACAGCTGCAGGGACTACAGGTGGCTGCAGCTGGCGGGGGTCGGTTGGTGCCTGGATAAAAAGCCTTGGCTGTAACGCTGCTAGTGCCATCTACTTGATGACGTTTGACAGGGCAAGATGACAGCACTGATCATGCCAAGCCTGCAAAGAGTCCTGAGTCAGGCCCTCCCCCAAAATCATGAGACGGGCCTAAAATTCATGAGATTTTGTTACAAAATAAAGAGCAGGGGCGTAAGAGTCAAGACTCAGTGTGTTCTTTGCTCAGCCATTGACGTACTGCATGGGCAACTTAACCAGTGCAAGCCTCATTTTCCCCATCTGTAAAATGGATCTAAAAACCTCTGCTTCATAGGTGTCTTGGGAAGTTTACTGTACTTCATTAATGTTTCTAAAGTGTTTTAAGATCCTCTAACAGAAGGTGCCATAAATGGCAAAAGAATATTATTGTCAGAATGGAACTGGACTGAGACAACCAATTCATTTCGGATAGGTTGTTGAACATGACGTGACTTTTGATTGTTGCCAACAGGGGCTGATCTTGAAACGGGGGCTTTAGACGCTCATATTCCAATCTCAGTTGAGCCATCCAGTCCTCCCTGTGTCTCAGTACATAAAAGAAAAAGAGCAATTGTGATTCCATGTTAATTACAAATATATAGAGATATTAGCGAAAGATAATCTTGCTTTATTTTATTTATATTTCTACAATAAATCAAGTACAATATTATATATATATATATTTCATGTTAAAAGCCTTTTAACTTTAATGACACTGAGGACTTTTGTTTACATTCTGTCACTGTGTAAAATGAGAAACACTCCTGATCTCTGCACATACACCAACAGTGGATTTTCAACTAATTCAGGCGGCACACATAATCCCCAGTCAATGGATATGTTGATACATTTGTTACAAGCATGACAAAAATATAGTGTCTGAAATATTTGTTTTGCAACTGAACTGGATGTTGCTTTGCTTAGACACAACTGGAAAATTTGTCATTAAAGGTGACTGGCAAAATAAAAACGTGTTTGTGTCCTTTATTGCTCCTTTTGGATATGTGGAGATGCCCTTTGTAACATTTATTTTTCCCCAAGAAAATATTTTTCTACTTTTTCCTTGGGGGACTTTGGAAATCTTTAGGAGGACCTGAATCATGATATCAAATATGGAGCTTGGAAGCTAAGCTGCATCTCTTCCATTTCTTCAAAGGTGCAGGGTGAGCCTTAGCACTTGTCTATCTGGGGAAAATCACCAGCATAGCGATAGCAGAATAATTATATCACTGTAATTATGCTGGTATAGTTTCCCATGTGGACACTCTATTCCGAAATAAAGTGACTTTATTCTGGTATAATTACTCTGGTATAATTATTCTGCTTTAGCTATGCTGGTCAATTTCCCTATGTACACAAACTCTTAGGCTGGGAGAAATGCTGAGCAACTCCCAACCTCCAGCTATCACGCCCTCCAAAGATTTTCCAATATCCTCCAGGAAAAAGTTAGAGGTGGGGAGCTTCTATTTCTGATGTAAAAACAACCAGAAAAATAAATCCTACGGCCTGGCTAATGGTTGCAGAAGCCCATGAAAACAGTGGAGCAGGTGCAGGGCTTCTGCACAAAGGGGGATTAGGATGTGGCAAATTGATGCTCCAAAATGCCCCATCCTAGCTGCACCCAAACATGCAAATGGGGCATTCAGAATCATGGGGATCTACAACCATGCTGTTCTACAGATAAGTGACTTAGCAAACAGGGCGGTGGGGAGTGGGGCGGGAGGGGTGTGTGTGCCAGAGCTGCAGGGACTACCGCAATCAGGAGGCAGCAGTAGCATTTCGGCAAGGGAAAATTCAGACCCCTGCAGACCTCCCTGGCACACAAGCTTGTGGGCTGAGGAGAGATTCTGGACCTTTAAGAGGCCGTCCATGCAATATCAAGGAGTAGTAAATGGTACAAACGTTTTTCTTTTGTAGTTCACCTTTACACCTACCCTTGAGATAACATCATATATCTCAAGCAATGGTCAAACTGAGATGGAGTCAGTCTAGAGGGAAGAGCTCTGTGTCTCAGCGGCAGGATTGCTACCATGGTCTTTGACTTGAAATAGATCAAAAAGATCTTGCAGGCTCCAGCTACCCTTTGGATTTTTTAGATACTGCCTCAAATCAGTTTTCTTTAGCACAGGGAAAGCTTGTTTATTTTCTGTCAGTTCCAGCAGCAGCTGTTTAACCAGGTTTGGCGTCTCATCCTTGCTGGTACTGTCATAGAGGTCAGGGAGGTCTTGGCTCTTCTGTGAGTCCCACAAGGAATTTGAATGTGAGGCATCTCTGGCCCTGGCTGTGTGCACACTACCCATGGCATTGTGGAGCCACATCAGCCGCTTCAGCCCTTGAAGTGCTCTTCCTTTATCTTGCATGAACTGGTGCTCCGCTACTGCTCTTTTACTGCAATGTGAAAGGAGAGTAGTTAGGAAGCTGAAGAATGCTCACATTTCCAGTGGGGCTGGTTTTCATACAGAGATTCCAGAGTGTTTTACCAAGATAGGTCTGAATCGACATTCTGGGCCTTTTAGAAATGGGGAAACTGAGGCACAAGGAGGGGATGCGACTCTCTCAAGGTCACAGAGTGAGTCAGAGGCAGAACTGCAAACAGAACCAGGGCCGGCTTTAGGCCAATTCCACCAATTCCCCCGAATCGGGCCCCACGCCTAAGAGGGCCCCACGCCCAGTGGCAGGGCCGCCCAGAGTGGGGGACAAGTGGAAGAGAATCCCTTCCCTGGCTAGAGGCGCCTTTTTAATTTTTACTCACCCGGCGGTGCTCTGGGTCTTTGGCGGCACTTTGGCGGCGGGTCCTTCACTCACTCCGGGTCTTTAGCGGCACTTTGGCGGCGGGTCCTTCAGTGCCGCCGAAGACCTGAAGTGAGTGAAGGACCCACCGCCAAAGACTAGGAGCGCGCCCCGGTGAGTACAAGCCCCACGTGTTTTTTTTACGTGTTTTTTTTTTTTAGTCATCCCTGTCGGGGCCCCGAAGAAACTGTTGGAATCGGGCCTCGCACTTCCTAAAGCCGGCCCTGAACAGAACCCAGCTCTCCAACTCCCCAATCCTGTGCTCTCTCCAGTGGTCCAAATATAGGCCCCCAAATTCCCAGATCCAGATCTAGATCTCAACTTTATGAGCCTAAATTTTCTTTTGCTTACACAGGTGTAAATCAGAAATAATTCAGTTGAAGCCAATGGTTTAAGTGAAAGGAGAATCACCCCCTACAACCCTATAATGAGTCTGACCAAAACTATTGATCCAAAACACTCTTGAATGCAGGGATTGAAAATCTGGATACACACCCAAATGCTCTCAGATTTCAGTGAGTTTAGATTTGGTCAAGTATCCCAACAGGCTCAAGCTGTGAATTTGGCTCTGAAACAGGATTCAGATCTGGAATGTTGTTTAGGACCATTTTCTAATATAGATATATCTGGTACTTGCAGTTTTCTTCTCCATGACATAATTTGTTGTTTGAGTTGATCCGTCTTTGCCTGGATTACTGTGCTGTATTACCAAGTGTCTCCTAAACTGCATTTAGTATAGTATAAAAGTAACAACTAAACACAAATCACAACATTAATGTATCTAAAAATACAGAGGACCTGATTCTCTACTGTGCAAAGTGGATGTAAAATGCTACCAAATCAGATTGGTAGCATTTCTGTACAGGAGTAAATGGCTACACAGGATGCGAGGCAGTGGAGAATGCAGCCCAATAGATTAAGTGCAAGCAGTTGACGAACAGCATTAGTTACAAAAGTGATTTTTCTTACTTTTCAGTTTCTTGAGATGTGGCAAAACAAGCAAGAAAAAAGATGACCAGGAATGTAACTATCTGCAGAGATCTTTGGGACAGGACCATCTTCTGACTTCTTTGTATCTGCTGAACAAAACAATAAAAGATTGACATTATTACCAAGCCGCTCTTTCTTTCAGTTGCCTCTTTCATTCTGTCAGGTGCATTTTCTACTTGTAAGCATATTAGTAGCTGCTCTTGTGCATCTACAAGCATGGTAGATCACACTAATTTAAACCAACCAGAGGAATGCCTAATAAGGACTGACTGGAGTAAAGAACTCAGGACTCATTCCTAATATTTGCCATTGACTTCAGTGGGAGCAGGATTGGACCCTAAGGACTGAGTAAGAACTCTTGGACTTGGTCCTATTATAATGAATCATCTCAGAGCAGTAAATATATAGTGGGCCAGAATCTGCTCTCATATGCACTGCTTTAAATCCAGCCTTGACTGGAGTTAACTGAGATCCATATCTGACACACAGCATGTGCCAATGATATGAGACCAGACCACACAACTCTGCTGTTAAATCTTTGCTGAGAAGCAGGATGAAACTTGTGTATTTTTCTGAGATTTACTGGGGTTGTGGATTAGGGAAGTAAGAATTAGCTCAATTTAACTGTATGTGCAATAATTATTTTTAATTTAAATTATCACTACAATCAAGTCAACACCGATACCTGTCTTTGAGATCTATCTATCTATCTACACCACATCTATCTATCTATCTATCTATCTATCTATCTATCCCCATACACCACATCTATCTATCTATCTATCTATCCCCATACACCACATCTATCTATCTATCTATCTATC